CTTGTGTTCCTGGGGATCTTTCAGCTTCAAGATGCATTGGACCCGCTTGAGAGGGCTGAGTTGCTGGCACTTCTTTCTGCGTAGCCACATGAACCGCAGGGGCACAAATGCACCGGCAGGTCGGACATGTGACACTAGCCTCCCAATTTCGTAGCTTGCACAACCTGCGGCAACAATCCTGATGCATCATGTGTCCACATTCTAAGTCCAGCCGGATCTCACCCTCCTCAAACTCTAGGGTGCACACTGCGCACGCCATAGCTGGAGAGAATGTTCAACTAAGGAGCGGCGCCAAAGTACAAATCCGTAGTTCATATTGTCATGTGGTAGCGTATCTGCTCATGGATATTGAAACATGCTTTGACTCATGGACTACCATGTCACCATGTCTATAGATTCCAGGACCTAAACTTTCTGAGCCAGGAGCAGTGCACCATTATTGACTCAACTGAGTTCGTGATGAGGGGCTGGGCCGTGCCCTGTCCCCGACGCTGGGCCGTGCCCTGTACTGCCTGCTGGGCCGTGCCCTGCTGGCGAATGGCATCCATGCTCGCGTTACGCGCAGGCGCCGAAAGGGAGGGTACCGGCATTGAGAGGGAAAAGGAAAGAGATGCGTCGGATAAACAAAGGGAGGCTACGGGAGCGGATAGGAAGACTCTTATTGCGGAATGTCGTGATGAGGGGCTGGGCCGTGCCCTGTCCCCGACGCTGGGCCGTGCCCTGTACTGCCTGCTGGGCCGTGCCCTGCTGGCGAATGGCATCCATGCTCGCGTTACGCGCAGGCGCCGAAAGGGAGGGTACCGGCATTGAGAGGGAAAAGGGAAGAGATGCGTCGGATAAACAAAGGGAGGCTACGGGAGCGGATAGGAAGACTCTTATTGCGGAATGTCAAGCTATGAGCGCGTCCACCAGGGACCATCACATGGCTGTCTGGTAGCATGAAACTAAGGCGCGGTGCCTGAACGATCATCTTCACAACATTATTCCTGTACTCTGGCGCAAGATCAGGCTTGAGCAACACGCGGCACGGATGAACGTACTTGAATGTACAATATACCAGGTACCAATCTTCTTTTCTGCTGCTTCTTGCAAAGTTTTCATCAATCGATCGATATTTGTCTTTCCCACCTGTGCCTGTGCCTCATGCATCAACTGGCTGGCAACCAAACTGCCTTGGGAGCGTGGGATCGCCTGGCAAGGCGAGCCGACGTGGGCCCCAAATGTTGCAAAGAAGCAAACGATGCAAGCAAGCGCACATCCTCAGGAGCTGCTCTTTCTGCGGCACCTGACATGCGAAACCCACAAACACAGCCAACAGCTTCTTGCAAGAGTGTGGTCAAGAAATGATGCTCAGAACAGAACGGGGCCTAGCGATGGGTCCTGACCAGGCACTGAGTCTGCAGCTGGATCCTCAGGGAGCAAAAGAATGAGTGTCATTCTGCAACTACGTTTACGCAGCGTTTACAGAACAGTGACCAGAACACAGCACTCAAGTGCGTACGGTACGTCAAATCCAGCAGTGAAGCAGTGAAAAATCCAACAGCTGGCAACGACCCTCTGCCCAAGTCTGATGTGGTTCGCTGGAAATTGGGGAATGTACACTGCCAGTCACCTAGAGGCTGTTCTGACATGCCAGGTCGCATGTTCAGCTGGAACACAGTGATTGATGACTGGAACACCTTCCTCCAAAGCTCTGCCACTTTGAAAGCATTGACGGACATGGCTTTCACACACTGAAAATGAATAAGCGTTGACTAGGAAAGGTGTGTCTAGACGTTTAGAAATTGCATGGTTGAATTTGCTTGCTGAAAAGGAAAGGCGACTTTGCTTGCTGAAAGTGAATGTCTGGCTGTGTGGCCTAGTGACAGAGGCCAACCACTTGCTGTGAGCCTATATACGTATAGTCCTTGGGAAAATCGACTTGGAATTGGCAGGTTGAAACTAACATGCCACTTTCAGCAAACTCAAAAAAAATCGAAAAATGGAAACTAGGAAATATGTGGTAAATATATCATCCAGATTGTTGAGAGAAATTGTCTTGATAATATAATGTTTCTTTTTATGGTTCTTTAGAGAGGTATCACTGTTCTGAAGTAACTGTTATTGTTCAGGAATACCTGTGGTGGTGTCGTCGTACCCTCTTTATTCAGGGGTCATCGGATCTGGCCAACGCTGGTCAAGTAGCTTGTCACGTCCACCGACGAAAAAAGAACACAAAGACAGGCAAGCATGTGTGTATGTCTGTATGCGCGAAAAGAATCCGTGCGAACCGGTGCGAACCGGTGCGAACCGGTGCGAACCGGTGCGCATCAAATACCGGACGCGCGCGATGTTACAATGGGTTAGCCACCGACAGTCCCGGGCCCCTCACTGGTAAGCCATCCTGCATAGGTGCCTTGGATAGCTTTCGGTCACTCTAAGTGGATGTATCCAAATTTCCAGAAACACACCTGTGTCTGCTACTTACCTGCATATTTGGATATATTTGGTATATATTTGGTATATATTTGGTATATGTTAGCACATGAAACTGCTGTAGATTCCACCTGGTCCAGCTGGTTCTTAGCTTAGGCTCCCACTGGACAGGACTGCAGCAACATGTTGAGTCCTTGGCGTCGGCGCAGCGCTTGACCCTCTGGTCAACGTGGCTGGGATGTGGGAAAACGACGGTTTTGTTTTTTAATATCTATACAATTTATATATATATATATACATATATGGTATATCATATGTTTTTTTTCCAAAAAAAAAATCAAACATCCGGAAATCACATGGTTTCTCATCATTTTCCCCCAAAAAAAAGTACAGTAATTATCTAAAGAATCGAGAAATCAAGGATCATCGTCCTGGTCCCCTTGAGCTTCCCACTCACATGCGCATGGCGCCAATCACTCTTGAACATCAGCGAAAGGATTCCAACCTTGCGACCATGTGAAAAATGGATGGAACGGAAACTTCGAGGATCCTATGGTCTTTACATGTCACATATGTGGGATATGATGTATAAAATATGCTAAATCAATCATACAATGGGGAATAGCGCAACAAATTTGCCCCTCACCAAAATAAGGCATCGGAGCCGAGCCTGGACTTGGAATGTCTCACAGTTTGTATTGGTGATGGTCCAACTCTATACTACATCTACATCAGGTTCAGTATGGGTAAAACATGGTAAAACAATGTCATAAACCATCCCCCAAATCTCCATCTTTATAGGTGGTATAGACCTGACCACTTCCCCGGTAGGAATCAAACAAATACTGTGAGCTTTGAAACGTCTACGTCTACGACCATCACATGGTATCTTCAATGTATACATATACATGTACATAGACATATACAATATACATGTTTTTTCATTTTCAAAATATATATATATGTATATATATATGTGTGTGTGTATATATATATATGTACATATATATATATTGTGAAATGTACACTTCTGATCCCTTAAGCATGCCAGGGTTCCCATCCAACCGGTCCTTCACTTGCCTGTATAAACCACTAATGCCTGTTAAAATAATTCTGCCAGGTCCCAGACTTGAGTGTTCCAAAGGTGTATGGCTCAGGCGAGCCGGTTGTGCGGTGGGAGGGTTACACCTTTGGCGCCATACGGTTGGCTGTTTTGGTCGTGGACGGCCTGGTTCTACAAAGCCGTGGAACGGCTGCTTCGCACGAGGCGTGCGCTGGGGAAAATTGCTGCGAGGCCGCAGCTTTCTGGTGGAAGTGGTGTTGGAATAGAATCCGCTTGCCAATTGACATTGGTAGCGGAGCCCCTTGCGTGAAGCAGGGGGTATCCGGGGCTACCACTGGTGATTTGACTGGTTTCTTAGAAGGTGAGACCAAGTTTTCATCTCTGGATTGGCAGTCATGTCAGAGAGCTCTGGAGGAGATGGTCAGGGGAACATCTCCAATCAACTAGCTTCGCTAGTGCCCAGTTTTGACCCGTCGAAGGATGATCTGCAGATGTACCAACAAAAGGTACAAATGGTGTTGACAGTTTGGCCTCCGAATAGAATCTCAGAGCTTGTTACTAGGCTCATTCTGAATACGTCAGGTTCTGCATTTGCTAAGTTGCAGCTGCACCACACTGAGTTAAGCACGAATGAGGCCAAGTCAGTACACAAGCTCATCGAACACCTCGGAGGACACTGGGGCCAAACAGGCCTTGAACGTCGTTTTTCAGATGCGGAGAAAGCTTTGTATCAGTGCAATCAACAAGCCGATGAAAGCCATGACTCATACTTAGCACGTGCAGACGTGCTCTGGTCGAAGCTTGCAAGCCAGAAACTGCAGATGGAAGATCTCCAAGCGTACATAACGCTTCGGGGAGCGTCGCTGACGAGCGAGGACAAGAAGCGAATCATCCTGGATTCCGACCAATCGTTGGACGGAAAACTGACAATCAGCCGTGTTCGAGAGGCAGTGAGAATGCTCGGAACCTCTTTCTTCCAGGAGATGACCGGACAAGGACGCAAGACAGTCAAGACAAAGGTGTATGACTCAAACGTTTTGCTGACGGAAGATCAAGAGACCTCAGGTGACATGGATGACCAGGTACACCAAGTCTACCACGAGGATTTTGATGAGGACGAGATGATCGAAACACTGCTTGCCGAAGGTGACAATGATGCCGCATTTGTGGCTGACTACGAAGCAGCAGCCAGTGAGTTGCTTCAGTCTGATGATGAACTCTCCACGGCATACACGTCGTATGTCGAAGCCCGCAAGAAGCTCAGTGAGAAGTTTCGAGCCAGAGGTTTTTTCCAATCGGAAAGGGAAAATCCAAGTTTGGCAAAGGCAAGGCCAAGGGCCGATCCAACTGGGGTAGAAAGAGTTTGCAGCAGCGAATCCTGGAAAGCCACTGTAGATTGTGCGGTCGCAAAGGCCACTGGAAAGGGGAATGCCCCTCCCGACCCGCAAGCAATTCAGGGACGTCACAATCCGCTGCAGTGACTCTTTCGGTTGCCTCTTCGACAACTGGATCTGACCAAGTGATGGCAGCCGAGTTCATGGATCTCCCTTTGGTGTCTGAGGAAAACCAACAGGACGCCGTGATTGCAGCCTCAAATGTTGTACAGACAGTTTTTTCAATTGAATGTTTAAGCACATCCTCACAGCCAGCCTGCCAATCCAAGAACATGAGGGACATAAGGGAGAGAATTAGGAATTATGTTAAGGGTAACAATAGTTCTAATTCTGGGGTAAAGTCACTCGTGCACAGGATTGAAGCGAAGCTCCGTTCGCAGACGAAGCATCCGAGCCCGTGCAAGTCCAAAAGTATGACCAATGAGCACATTTTGTGCCCGAGCAATATGACAGAAAGGCATTTTGCCTCCAAACCGACCGTGAGCCACCTGAGAAGCGAAAGTTCCCGAAAGTTTTCACCAGTGAGGAGTCCAATCCCAGCCACTGTCAACTCCGCAGCCGATGCAATGTTTGCCACGCATGACTCATGGGGAATAATAGATACTGGGGCTACTAAGACCGTAATGGGGAATAATCATGTGACCAGTTTTCTCAATGCCATGGACCCGAAAGTCAGGAAACAAGTGCAACGTTGTTCATGTGATGTTGTGTTCAGGTTTGGAAATCAGGGCACCTTAAAGGCCTCACATGCCATGGTTGTACCTGTGGCGGGCATGAACCTCAAGATTGCTGTGGTTGAAGGATCAACTCCGTTTTTAATCTCCAACACGCTTTTGCGCGCATTGGGTGCCATGATAGACACGGAAAGGGATCTCCTCACCATGCCAAAACATGATTGCCAAATTCCCCTGAAGTTGTCGTCAAAAGGTTTGTATCTAATCGACATGAACATGTTGTTTCAGATTGCACCCGTGCCCAAAAGCTCATCAGAGCCTGCTGAGACATATGCCCAGGACACTCAGGAGCCTGCCAAAACAACAGCGGAAAGCTTGCCAGCCTTAAATAGTTCCATGAAGCCACAACCAGAGAACAGTAGACCACAAGGCTCAGAGGTTCAAGGTGTAGGCACTGCGATGGTAGAATCAGAAGCACAGAAATGTGCTGACAGCAACTTTTGGCCTCAAAACAACCGTGCAGAAAAGTCCCCGGTCTGTTCAGCAAGCAGCCATGAGCACGTGGAATCAGCGCCTTTCCAAAGCCCAGGCACAGATTCCAGCAGCCGACCAGGAGACAATCGATGGTCTCAAGCTGATCGACATCAAGGACACCCCAGTGACGTTTGGGAAAACCCATCTGGGCAAATCCCACGAGGAAGTATGGCACTCAGACCCGGAGTGGGTGAAATGGTTCATGAGTCACTACCAGAAGAGCACCCGAATGGAACACCGTCTCATGATCAAGTTCATTCAGTTGAAGGTGGAAGAGAGCGAAGCCGGGGAAGCCAAGAATCCTCAGGCTTGTATCAAGCCAAAGGGACTTCCCAAATCCCTGGCTGCCAAAGCCAAGAGCATGCCCAGCCCAAGCAATCACTGGCAGTTGCCGGTGGAACCAGAGATCGAAGCTTTCGAGATGATGTCCGAGGGACTGATGCCGCCGCATCCGGAAACCACGGAACTGGCAGAGAATGTCCATGCGCTCCAAGAGAGAATGCTAAACTTGGAGAATGCCATGCAGCGCATGATCGCGCTCATGTCCCAAAGTGCCAACCACCAGATGCAGAACACCCATGCCATGCCGACCCACGAGACTGCACAAGTGGAGTTCGACGATCCCTGGAATCCATAGGGGATGAGACCTCCGATTGGTCCCTGCAAGCTGGCGAAATTGATGAATTTTGTGAATCAATCCCCAATCATGAAAGGATAAAGTTCTGGGACTTAGTCAATAAGATTGAGAGGGAACTTATCTATATGAAGGGAATAACAAATCCATCCCAAAGAAGCATCGATGCCATCGAAGTTTTTTGCGGTCCACAAAGCACCCTGACAGAACAGGTCCAGAAACTAGGTGGGATTGCTTTCCGATTCGGCCTGAGCCAAGGCGATCTCCAAAGCACTGAGGGCCGCCGTAGGCTGTTTGCACTGGTTTTGAAGTATCAACCCCGCAACATTTGGATGAGTCCAACTTGTGGTCCTTGGGGAAAATGGTCACAGTTTAACAGCCAAAGATCATTAGCAGCTTGGGATAACATCATCCAACAAAGGGGAGAGATGCTCGGCCAGATTGCTTTGTGCCTCGTTTTGTGCCGTCACCAACATCGATGCCAGAGACATGCTCACCTTGAGCAACCAAAAGGGTCTCTGATGATCCGCCTGCCATACCTACAGGAACTCCATAGGTACATGTTGAGCGCCAAACCTGATCTTTGTCGTGCAGGTGAACTTCGAGACCCACAAAATCATGCTCTCATGAAAAAAGGTTTGCATGTTATGACCAGTTCTCAACGAATGTTCGACAGTCTCAATCACCTCAAATGCTCTCAAGATCATGACCACCAAGTTGTTGAAGGTTCCACAGTGTGGCAAGGAAGACCGATGTTGCGCTCTGAGTTTACCGAAAACTATCCAAGGAAGTTCAGTCGCCTGGTTGCCAAGTCTTTGATCAAGAACAAGTTTCCACAGGAAAAGCCGTTGGGAACAATTGCCGACCCTGCCTTAATATTGTTTGATCAAATGCACAATGAAATTTATGCAACAGGTGTCAAAGAACGTCCGTCCAAGCGAGTGCGAGTGAATCCAACTCGGGGCCATAAGACCCCTGCTGCAGCTGGCGCATCCGACCGGCCTGGAACCGCCAAAAGACCTAAGGTGGTCACTGAAGAGCAGACCGACCAACCACCCAATTTCCATGACTATGAACCTGCATCCGAGCAAATCCAAAAGATGATGAATCAAATCGAATCCATTCTTCCACGAGTAGGCAGAAAAGTGCTTGACCAGCCAGATATCCTGAAAATTGTCAAAGAAATTTTTGCAGACATGAACATCAAGAAAATATTGGCCTGTAAAGGGACTGATCGTAGACTCGGACCTCCTCTGAACATGCATCCGGAAGAAGCTCCATTTCGCAGGTCAATCTTGAAAATTCGAGACACTCAGGAAATCCTTGTTGAACGAAGTTGGGAAAAGTATGATCAGATTTCCAAAAGGCAGCTCATCAGACCTTCTCCGCCGTGTCGGGTGAATATAACGATGTTTGCAGCCAATCCTGAATCGACCCCAATTCGTGCACCATGTACAGAAGAACCAGAAGGAACAAATCAGCCTGCTCAGCCATCAGACCAAGGAATGCCTGAGGTCGCCCATGAACATCCCATGAACGAATCCCAGAAACATTTTGAAGCCTTCACTCCTGACTCGTCAGAAACAATTGAACCAAGTGTTGATGCCAGAAGCCCTTCAAAAGACAATATCAGCGAAAACCCACCGCAGGAGACCTCAGACATAGAATCGCATGGTCCACGATTCCGTGCGTTGCCTCGAGAAGAGCAAGCCATGCTCAAAAGGGCACACAAGAATTTGTGCCATCCTAGTCCCGAGCAGCTTAGCCAGGTGTTGCGCAGTCAAGGGTGCCGATCAGAGGTGTCACAAGCAGTCTATGATATGAAATGTTCAACATGTGCGTCCCAACAAAGACCCAAAATTTCCAGACCCAGCACTTTCAAGACCGAACTGGATTTTAACGATAAGGTGTTTATCGATGGGGTTACATGGACATCACAAAAGGGACAAAATTTTCATTTCTATCATATTCTTGACCAAGCCACCAACTACCATGTTGCTGTACCAGCACCCAGCAGAGCAGCCGAGCAAGCTGTACAGAAGCTTACCGAGGCGTGGTTTCAATGGGCAGGACCTCCGAATTCCATGATCATGGATTCAGCAACGGAGTTCACAAGTGAAAAGTTTGAAGAATTTCTTCAAAGACATGACGTCAAAAGTACTGTAACATGTCCCAATGCACACTGGCAGAACGGTAGAAGTGAAAGACATGGACAAATCCTGCAAACCATGCTGACCAAGATTGATGCCGAAAATCCAATCCTTTCCTTTCATGACATGCAACAAGCCCTCATCCAGTGCACTCATGCAAAGAATACCCTTAGCATCCGCAGAGGTTTTTCCCCTGAAGTATTGGTGTTTGGCAAAAGTTCCAAAATTCCGGGTTCCAATGTGAGCAGTGACGAAGTCTCAGCTCACGAAAGCGCCCTTAGAGAAGATGCCCATGGAATCATGTTTCGCCGGAACCTTGCCCTGCGTGAGAAGGCGAGAATTGCATATCACCAAGCAGACAATGACATGGCACTGAGAAGAGCCTGTCTCCGTAGATCAAGGCCAGATCGAACAGCATATGAGCCAGGTGAATGGATCATGATGTGGCAACCACAAAAGAACTTGCCAGGCTATTGGTTCGGACCACTGAAGGTAATTCAACAAGAGGATCGATTCTCGATCTGGGCATCCATGGGAGGGAAGTTGCATAGAAGGGCCCCCGAACATGTGAGACCTGTATGTGCGTCAGAAGCACACAACTTACCCGAAGAGATACCAATAACCACTCCAGGAAAACTCAATATCACACCAGTAATCTCCATTCCACATGATGAACCTTCTACTAACAACAGTAATAACCATCATAACCCAGAGGAATCAGTTCCTGACACTGACAATAACAGCCAATCCCAAGACCAACCTGATGGGGAACCTGACGAAAGCCCTCTTGATGTGCCCAACAGCCAAGATCGAAATGATGAATCAACAGCACATGAACCGAATGATCCTGAGCCAGAAGGTGCCGATGACTTCGTCACGACGCACCTGCTATGCGTAGATGATTTGGCAATGACCGTTGATCCCACCGAGACACCCTGTGCATGGAGGTTTGAGTTGGATGCTCCAAAGAATGTCACGACACAACAGCTATCCCATTGGCATGCCGATGAGATCCTAATAGCCTCCACCGAGAAGAAACAGCGTACCAAAGTGAAATTGTCATCCTTGAATTCAGAGGAACTTCAGGCATTCAAAAGAGCAAAGGAAAATGAAGTTCAGAACTGGATAAGCACAGGTACCGTGTCCAAAATCCTCAGATCAAAATTAGCTCCTGAACAAATTTTGCGATGCAGATGGATTTTGGTATGGAAACCTTTAGAAGAAAAAGCCGAATCCAAGGAAACAGGTCAGTTCAAGTCAGAAAAATTGAAGACACACAAACCAAAAGCCAGATTAGTGGTCCTTGGATATCTTGACCCCGACATCACTGAAGTTCCCAGAGACAGCCCGACCCTTGGAAGACAATCCAAAATGCTCCTTCTACAGCTGATCGCTTCAAAGGGATGGTCATTAGGTTCTTTCGACATCCGTGCAGCATTTCTACAAGGAAAACCTCAACAAGATCGAATTATTGGAATTGAACCCGTACCAGAATTGTCCAAAGCCATGAGCCTCAAAGAAAATGAAGTGTGCAAATTAGATAAATCCGCTTACGGACTAATTGATGCACCTTTCCTTTGGTACAAAACCCTGTGTGAAGAGCTGAAAGCCCTTGGTTTCCAAGCCAGCCCATTTGACCCATGCCTTTACGTTCTACGACATCCCGAGACAAAAGAACTTTCAGGTGCACTTGGCATCCATGTGGATGATGGAATTCATGGTGGTGATTCATATTTTCACTCTCAAATTACCAAACTCGAAGCAAAATATCCCTTTGGATCAAAAAAGTCAAAAGCGTTCACCTTCACCGGAATTGAAATGTGCCAACATCCCGACAAAAGTATTGAACTTTCTCAAACAAAATATGTGAATCACATCCCTCCAATTGCCATCAAGCCCGAGAGAAAGCACCAAGAAAATGAACCTGTAACCGAGGAAGAAAGGCATAATCTTAGAGGCCTGGTAGGATCCCTTCAGTACGCAGCCGTACATACCCGACCCGATATCGCCAGCGCCCTCAGCCACCTCCAATCCCAAATCAACAGTGCAACCATTGCAACACTGGTAACTGCCAATAAAGTGCTTCATAATGCCAAGAAACACAGCGACGTCAGCATCAAAATACAACCCATCAACACACAGGACCTGCGTTTTATTGCGTTCTCTGATGCATCTTTTGCATCCAAAAGTAAGCCAGATTCCCATGCCGGTATGATCATTCTTTCAACCCACCAAGACATCACCCGAAACCAATCCTGTCCCATAAGCCCCCTATCATGGGGAACAAAGAAAATTCAAAGAATCGTCACTAGTACACTCTCGGCTGAAACAACAGCTTTGTCAACTACCCTGGATCAACTCACTTGGATGCGTTTATACTGGGCATGGATCCTCAATCCAAACACTGCATGGCAAAAACCCGAAGAAGCGAAAAACCTTCCACCTGCAATTTCCCTTCCTACGTATAAAGTAAACGACCAAGACCTTGCCATAACTGACTGTAAAAGCCTCTATGACCTGACAACCAGAACAGCTATTCCGAACTGCCAGGAATTCCGAACACAACTCCTTGCGCGATCGATCAAAGACATCATGTCCGAAGGTATAAGACTTCACTGGGTCCACTCAGGAGCTCAGCTTGCAGATGCCTTAACGAAGGTAATGGAAGCAAACTTTCTCAGGGAAACCTTAAGGAATGGACGTTACTGCCTGCACGACTCCGAGGAAGTCCTGAAAAACAGAGCATCCAACCGAAACCGACTCAAATGGTTGCGGACTGCGACTGATCAGAAGTGTCCTGAATCTGAAAAACTTTGAAGTTTTGGGAATGTGAAATGTACACTTCTGATCCCTTAAGCATGCCAGGGTTCCCATCCAACCGGTCCTTCACTTGCCTGTATAAACCACTAATGCCTGTTAAAATAATTCTGCCAGGTCCCAGACTTGAGTGTTCCAAAGGTGTATGGCTCAGGCGAGCCGGTTGTGCGGTGGGACGGTTACACCTTTGGCGCCATACGGTTGGCTGTTTTGGCCGTGGACGGCCTGGTTCTACAAAGCCGTGGAACGGCTGCTTCGCACGAGGCGTGCGCTGGGGAAAATTGCTGCGAGGCCGCAGCTTTCTGGTGGAAGTGGTGTTGGAATAGAATCCGCTTGCCAATTGACAATATATATATATATATACAAATATATATATATATACAAATATAATCATATGTAGAGAAAGAGAGCCCGAAATTACTCCTATGAAAAAGGAATGGAATCCATGCTGACACCCAAAAGAAAGAGAGAGAGAGAGAGAGATAGCCGGCAGAATTGTTGACCACGCACATCCAAATACACCAAGAACGGACCATCCAATGAGTGTCCAAAGTCCAAAGCTGGATTTCTTCCAAACTCATTTTGCCCAGCGGACTGGCTTTACCCCCTGTGAAGCTGGCTATTTCACTTTCGCCCAAAAGTCCCAAGAGTTTCATTCTAGCCGCCCATCCCATGCCCACCTCTCGAGGAGACCAACTCATGAATCCCAAACCTTGGCGGTTTCTGCCGCTGACAGTGACGGTCGACGGGTCCGAATGTTTGATTCAAAGTTGAGAAAAGATCCTTTGGCAGCTGGAACTGCTTGAACCAACGAAAAACGCGTAGAAACTGTACAGCACCCCAACCACTTTGCCGTCAGAAATTGTTGTTTTTGACCATGTTCACCATAACCAATGATGCCAAGGTTAGTTCACCAAAACATCACCCAGCCATTACTCACCCAGCCACTCTCGTTGCGCGGTCACTTTCAACTCGTGCACCGTGCTCTCTGGCGCCACCTCCAGCAGTGCTTCCTCTCCGCTGAGCAGCGTCAGGCGCAGCCGCATGGCCCATGGTGTGGCGCCGCAGGGACGCAATGGCTAAGAACCGGGAACGTGATACTGTAGCACTGTAGGGCCGGGGTACGGAAAATGTTGAAGCCCTTTTCGTCAATGCTTTGTAAACGAAAACAAGATTTGAGTCAGAATTTGTCAAAAGAAAATCTAATTGCGAACGGTAATCACTCACCGCTTTGAATGCTTTCTTTGACAAGGATGGACTATGACCAAAAAATCTGACGCTGGCAGGACGATTCTTGAGATCCTTGAGGTGTGGTTTGCGGCGCCGTCGCATTCAAATTTCGGGTGCAGGATACAGAAGGCGCAGTGGAAGGAGCTTCGCAGTTGTCCTTCATGGTTTTGCCCCTAAACAACACCAATCAACAGCATACCGTATTCAAGCATCATTAAAAAAAAACTTCCAAAAGAAATCTGAGGAAATCACTAATTTCCCAACTCTTGAGCCTCTTGGGTGCTGGAAATCCCCCTTTTCTGGTGTCCTGGCCAAGCCCCGACTCCACCCCCACCTCTGAGTCCAACAATCGTTCCCTGGGCTGCGATGGATGCCCTAACGGAGAAGGATGGTTTTGATTCAACCAGCGAAAATCAGATTGAACCAAAGCGTTAGGCAGTCAATCTGTAGTGAACCTGTGGCCCACAAATCAGGTGTGTTGTGTATAATTCCAACAACTCCCCGACTTGCAGATTGGATAGCCATGGCAATCTGTCATTTCTGAATGACTAAATCCGAACCAAAAAAGGTTTCTTTAAAGGGGGTGTGGCAAGAAAAAAACAAAACATTGGTCCTTTTCGGTGGGCAAACACGGGAAACCAATGGTTTTGGGGTCCCCCAAGTCCTTAATCCTCGCAGAATGGAATCCACATCTTCCCTCGGCGCCTCCCCCGACACGCCCCGAATTGCCACGCTCCAAAGGCCCGAACCAAAAACAGCGCGGCGGGGATAAAGCAGCAACTGGACAGAGCAACCAATACTGTCCTAATGATCTGTTGATTTTCGAGTGGCTATGTTTTAAGGAGACCAGAAGTGTTTGCGCCTACCTTTTGAGAATTTGCTGGGTGAAACATGAAAAAACATATTGAAAAGTGTCTCAACTACTTCTTGTGGTGCTAATTCCAAAGACACTGAGTATGGCACCTGGTCAGTTTCTCAAGCTGCTACACAGTGGGGTCCCACTAAGTATGTACTGAGATAAACTGGTGATCATGTAGTCTCCGGTTATATGTTGCATTTTTGTTGGCATCGCCAAAGCTGCATTGATTCAACCCAATGTGCTTCGCAGTAGGTGATTCGTTGTCATGGTCTAGTCTCCAGTGATATCCCACTAAACATGTAATTGATAATTTGTGACAATTTTTTGGCTCATAACCCCCTGTTATATGTTGCATTTTTGTTGACATCGCCAAAGCTGAGCATCTATTCAATTCAATTTGCCTCGCAATTGGTGGTTCGTTGTCATAGTCTAGTGTCCAGAGATATCCCACTGAGTATGTACATGGAAAATTGGTGACAATTGTTCGGTTCATAGTCCCCATTTGTAAAAAAATATGTGTTATTTTTGTTGGCGTCGCCAAAGCTGCACCTATTCAATTCAATTTGTTTCGCTGTTGGTTGCTTGTTGTCACGTCAAGTTGTTCAAAAATTGCTCAAACATTGGTCAAAAGTTGGTCAAGAGTTGGTCAAGAGTTGGTCAGGTTGGTCAAAAGTTGGTCAAAAATTGGTCAAGTTGGTCAAAAATTAGTCAAGTTGGTCAAAAGTTGGTAACATTTGTCAAAAATTTACCAATTTGCCAAGCTGGTCAAGAATTGGTCAAGTTGGTGAAAAGTTGGTCAGAAATTGACCAACTTGACCAAGTTCGTCAAAAATTGGTCAAGTTGGTCAAAAATTGGTCAAGTTGGTCAAGTTGGTCAAAAGTTGGTCAAGTTGGTCAAAAGTTGGTCAAGTTGGTCAAAAATTGACCGACTTCGTCAAAAGTTGGTTGGTCGGAAATTCCATCTGACCAACTCAACCAATTCAAGGACACAAGAAATGTTTGCAGCCAAATTTAGACCATTACAGGCGTTTTTCTTGGTTTTTTTTTGAAATTTGACCAGCAAAACTATTGAGTGGTCTAAATTTGGCTGCAAACACTTCTTGTGCCCTTGAGTTGGTTGAGTTGGTCAAATTGGTTACGGGTTGGTCAAGTCGGTCAAAAGTTGGTCAAGTTGGTCAAAAATTGACCAACTTGGTCAAGCTGGTCAAAAATTGGTCGAGTTGGTCAAAATTGATCAAAAACTGAACAATTGGTTAAATTGGTCAAAAATCGGTCAAATTGTCAACTTGGTCAAAAGTTGGTCGAGTTGGACAAAAATGGGTGTTGGTCAAAAATCGGTCAAGTTGGTCAAACATTGGTCAAGTTGGGCAAGTTGGTCTGAAACTGACAAAGTTGGTCAAGTTGGTGAAAAATTAGTCAGGAATTAGTCAAGTTGGTCAAAAGTTTGTCAAAAGTTGGTCAAAAATTGACCAACTTGGTCAAGTTGGTACAAAAAAATAGCCAAATGGGTCAAAAATTGGTCAAGTTGGTCAAAAGTTTTGTCAAAAATTGATTAAATTGGTCAAAAGTTGGTCAAAAGTTGGTCGGAAGTTGGTCGGAAGTTAGTCAAGTTGGTCAAATGTCGGTCAGGTTTGTCAACGGCGGGTGATGAAAGTGTGAAGTGGGAGAATTGTTTGAAGAACCCATGACACCTCAAGTACCCCCGGTACAAGTGTCCAGCGCTGGGGAAGACACCATATTGTTTTTGATCACCACAAGATGGTCAGGTAATTTCACTTGAACATCACATGTGTGAACTTAAACTCGGATACTTGTAGTGAACCGTTCAATAACTTTGCTGCCTTCCTCCCATGGCAAAACTGAAGGCAACTTAGAACAACTCTCATATGAAAGAGACTCATGCTTTGAGGCATGCAGTGGGCTCAAATGGCAACATGTACCAAAACAACTCTCATATGGAAATAAAGGCTTCAGAAGTGCTTGTGCCCCACACCCCTCTGCCGTCAGTTGACAAAAAAAGCATTCCAACAGGGCAATGCTACTTCTTGGAGTGCTGTTTTTTTTGTTCACCTTAAAACGATGGAGCTTGAAAATTAACATGATGATCTGGGGCCAATTTTTGTAGCCGTTTGAATAGGGAAAATGATGCCAAATACACCATGGGTTGGTTTCTTGGGTTCAACTGGTCAATTGCCTAGACCCGAAAATCGCCACCTTGAGATCTTAGAGTTGATAATTCTCCGAGGGTTGATCTGTTGATCTGGGATGAGATGGGACAAGATAGGATGAGTGTCACTGATAAGCTAAGTGTAACAAAACTTAAACACAAAACTAAACTATATAATAGTTTCAAAAACATGCAGACAAAAGAAGAAAAACGCATCATTCGTGGCAGTTGAACAGGAGGATAGCTCTGACATATCGAGGAGGGTTGCCTTCAAAGCAGCAAATTGTGGTAGGGTCAACAGCTAGAAAATCAGATTGAAGGATATGACCATGAGGTTTCCTTATTTTTTGTGATGCCTTGGTTTCATACTAGTTTTTCTCACATGGTGCACCTGCCCCACCATCATCAGCCTTGCGGATGGCGAACCAATGGTCGCGGCTTTGACCTTCAACAAAGGCAAATGCTTTGCCCTGCACATGGGGACGCTGCACCCCATGTGCAGTTCCTGGAGGGTACCTTTATTTCCGGGCGAAATAACCGAAATAGCCCATGCGAGGTCTCATATGCCAGGGCTGCAGAAGGGCTTTGAAAACTACAGTGATCCTTTGGTGCTAAACCCAATCATTGCACTGTGACACCTCAGTTCTGTTGCCTTGCCTCCCAACCAGTCACCAATGGGATAATCCGAAATTGCATCTACAGATCTGATTTCCATGTATATATATATATTACATATGTACGTACGGACGCACGCACACATGCATGCATGGATGTATGCATGGATGGACGGATTGCATGTATGCATGGATGGATGCATGGATGTATGTATGCATGTATGTAGGTATGCGTACAGCCCATCATTTGCCTCTGTCCTTGTGGCGTCGTCGGTCAGTGAGTTCGTTCAAACTCAGCCAGGCAAATGAATTACATATGATATTCCTATCCAAACCTCCCATTATCTCAAATTAATTACGCTAGAAGAATCTCCGTTTACAAATTTCGATGTGTTCGAGGAGACAAACAAGGATGTTCCAGCCATTTTGTCCGAGACACACAGGAATGCCTCGGTGGCCTCCGAAGGGTCCTTTCAGGGAAACCCAGCATGGAATGTGCCTAGGAAGCCATGATTCGACACAATTTCCATAGGAACATTCATGAAGATCAACAAATAGTATATGTATATTATATATATATATTATCTTGATTATAGACAATTTAATACAATACAAAACAATACAATATAATATAATATGATATAATATAATATAACATCATTTAATATAGTAAAATATATTATAATATAATACAATATAATACAATATACTATAATATATTATAATACAATATATCACAGTATAATATAATACAATATATCACAGTATAATATAACATATTGTAATATAATATTATACTATATTACAAAAAAAATATTATTTAATAAAACATATAATGTAACGTAATTAAATTAAACCAGAAAAATTATTTGATAATATAATATGATATATATTGTAAAACAATATAATTTAATCTAACATCATTTAATATAATCATATAATATATTATCAACTAATTTCAGATGATATTATATTGTATATTACACTATACTATTTATTGTAAATTAAATATCAAATAGTTTTTATATATATTATGTAAAAACTATATTTCAAATGAAGTATTAATTCTGCAAATCATATCATATATTTTAACTTTCCATATTGTATTGTAACATGTTGTATTAAAAGACTTTTTTCTATTTTATATTATATATACTATATTGTATTGAATAAATACGATATACTGTATAGTAAATCATTTCTATCTTATTATATATTATTCTATTCTCATTGAATATTAAATATATATATATGCATTGTGTATATTATGTGTCTATATATATATATATGTATATCTATCTCTCTCTGATCTGTAAATTACATAAATAAAAAAGACTATATACAATAGAGAATATTGAAAAAGGAAAATATAATATACTATAACATAAAAGAATATATAGTTAAATACTGAATAAAACATGAAAATATAGCAATTAATACGTATAGATAATATATACTATAATTTTGAAAAAAGATAAAAAGAGAAAAGAAGATTTAATTCTATAAATTTTAATCAAATATTATCTCTTATAATTTACTTTAAAAAAAAAACATGAATTCATCATGTAGGTATCAATCATATTATTATATTTTTCGCTAAATAGATTATGTTACATCATATCTATATATATATACATATATATATATTACATATTTGAAATAATATTGTATTGAATATTTTATTTTATTTCATTACGTTAAAATAAAATATTCATTTTTATATTAAACTGTATTCTATGACATGAAAACAAAAATTATATTTTGATAAATATCTACTTGATATTATTTTGAATTATATTAAATCATGTATTTTACTATACTACTGTTATTTTATGTCATTACCGTGTCAAATTAAATTAAATGATCTTAACATATATGATATATTATGCTGAATATTTTCTATTATTTTGTATTTTCGAATTTAAATTATATTATGTATTAAATGATATATTAATATTTAATCAAAATATTATAAAGTATATAATGAAATATATTTTTTTCTTGCTGTCGCACTTCACGAGCATGAAATCAAATGACAGAACAACACACACGCTCAGCTCTTCGTTTTTGATCTCGGGGCGATCCAACGAGTCTGATTGTCTGCGCCTCGCGTCCCGAACGGTCGGGCAAGCAATCGGAGCTGCACAAAATGTCACAAGTAAGGTTCAAAGTCGGAGGTACTGACAGGTACTGTCCATATTTGTCGATGGGCGGTAGAGACCCATTCCTGTGCAAAGCCTCTTCGAGTTGTCGCACCAGATTAATGAGCAACAGCAACTTGGTGTACTTCAAGTGGTCTATATATTCACTTGGCGGATGCTTTCGACTATGGCAGTGCGAACGACTGGGTGTAAAGCTGGGACATCATCCAAGATGTTTTCCAGGTTTGCGACTTGGTCGTGCAAGCGAGCTTCCAAACACTCTGTAAGGAGAAACGGTTGAAGCACTTGTTGGATAGACATGGCAGGACCAAAGCAACTTGGGTGACCAAAAGCGAATGAAGAGTGGTGAACATATGAAGTAGGTAATGACAAAATGCAGGGAGCTGCATGTATGTTTTTTAAAAAAATGGCCATGCAAAACTATGTCCACTTGGAACAAACATGCGTGAGAAAAGGAAACTCGTCCAGAAAACTGCGGACACTTGTCCAACTGGAGCCAGTAAAATGGGTTCGAGAAACGAAATAAGGGTGGGACGAAAAATTTGGAAACACGAATGTGCTGGGGCTCACTTGAGCCTTCAAATGTCCGTCAACCAAAACTATGATCATGATGTGCGCTGTACTTGTTCTAAATCCATGTTCTGTTGTCATGTGACATCATGTGACAACCATGCAGCCTCTGAGAAGAGATATTCCATCAACAAGTTGAGTTACATCTTATTTCTCTTGCTGTTGCGCTTGACGAGCATAAAATCAAATGACAGAACAACGCACACGCTCAGCTCTTCCTTTTTGATCTCGGGGCGATCCAACGAGTCTGATTGTCTGTGCCTGGCGTCCCTCCCCCACTTCTAGGAGGCTCTATTGCGTCTTCTCATCCAAACACTTATGCCACATGGCTTCCATGTTCACAACAGTGGGTGTCATTCCAGGATAGCTCGCAAGTCTTTCCCTAGAAAGATCAGCAGGATTCGATTGGGATGGCACTCGCTCAATCCCGGAAAACAAGCCGAGCTCTTCTTCCAGGGAGCACGCTGAGCGAATGATCAAGTTCATATGATCATTATTGGATTTACACTTCACGAGGCAGGACTGAACACTTTGATTGTCTGTGAAGATAACAACACGCTTTCCTTTGAGCAGAGTTCCGAGCACCTGCTGGAGTGCAGTGGCTACTGCCAGACCTTCTAACTCAAAAATGATGGTCTCCTGGTCATCATGTTTGATGAGTTTGATCACAACTTCGCTGAAACTACCATGCATGACAATCAAAGGCCACTCCACCAACACCAGAGCAACCATTCGGTTCAAAGGAAGCGTCTACATACACATGAACCCAATCCATGAAGTTTGCATCAACTGGCCAAGGGGTGTTAGACCTTTAACAACTCAACAATGAGTCTGAAGGAGACTTCAAGTTCAGATGTCAAAGTCAACCCTCGGCTTACATGGGAGTTCAGATCACGCAGGCAATTGCGGAAACTCCTGCCGAAAAGTTGGTTAGAAGCAAATTGGAGTCTACCACGCAACCATTTCACCCTCATATCTGGGGAGAAAGCCCTTGATCTAAACACTCTCAATCAAACCGATCAGTTCGTGTCTTCTGCTCTCAGTGTTGCGGACTTCCAAGGCTCCAGCTGGACTCTTACTGAGATCAAGCTCGGCTCCAAGAACTTTGCAACACTCAGCATAGGAACCCATTTGTCCTCTGAAAGCTGCCATCCAAGAAGATGGAAGAAGGTGGAGATACACAAATCCGTATGTCTTGCTAGGCAATGGGGAGCTAGGCTCAAGAAACCGTCAAAGTACGAAGTCCATGTCAACTTCAACAAACTGCTTCCTATGTGCCAGATGCCTATGACACGTCTGAGAAAAGCCATCACTGAAGCTATCGGCCCACATGGCAACACTGCCTGTTTGAAGACTTCCTGCTGTTGAGTCTCCGGGTTGTATATCACTATGTAGGAGTCTTTCTCGTACGCTTCCTCGGACAAAGGAACTTGCTTATATGCTGGTGCAATGTCCCAGCATTTTGCCACTAACCCAGAAGGTGTCGTTTCTGACCAAACAGCTTGAAGGAGAGCGGATCCAAGACAGGCTATGTGATCGACTCCATGTAGCGTCACCATTTCCACTGAGTCACTGCAGAGTTTACGAGACTGGCTTTGTAGTCGATTGGTACCATCCGGCACCGCATCAGCACTGATGGGTCCCTTCACAAAACCTTGGTCCCTCTCTTTCATGGTGGCCTGCAAGACTCCACGATCTATCTCTTGGTCGCCTGAACTCTTCACACTTGCCAGCAAAACTTCTCGAGCACGATTGGCGACACTCCTGAGTGCTTCTGTAGGTAGCTGGCTGGCCGATCTCTGGTCAAAGTGATTCGACGCCAGCAATTTTCCAGTGAGGTCGAAATCATTGCAGGTATCGTCTGATAGGCAAACGTCTTGAGAACAAGCTTCCACCAACAGCTCTTTGAAGAGCAACATCTTCTTGTGCCGGAGGATTTCTCGCCGACCTTGTGACATGCATTCTCTTAAGGTTTCCTCGACAGCCTGCAATTGTTGAGCTCTGGAAAATAATTCGCCTCACCACTTCCGATCTGCGTTGTGCAACTTGCGACACTGAGTGGTTCAAGCAAAATTGCACGGCATCCAACATGGGCCCTGGCATTTGGTCCGTTGCTACTCCTGGGTGTTTGGCTGTAATGGCTGCTTCGACGAACTCTTGAGGAGTCCGGTGAACTCCTACTGTTTTCAGTCCTGCACTCGCGATATCCCCCATGGCTGGAGAGCCAATAAGGCGTGCATTTGAAGGCAAGGGATCTTCAGCAGGGATCTGCATGATGTGGTTGAACTCACTGACCAATGGCAAACCGGTGGCAGAAAGTATCTGGCACGTGCAAAAATTCACACTTGTGAAATCTGTTTTGGCACTTGCCATGAGTGGTCATCTTCACTCGTGAGCTATCGAAATCTTATAAGGCCTGGACGACCTGAAGCCCCAGGACTAGCAAGTGCCCCAAATAGAGTGTGGCCAACAGCTTGTCAGAAGTAATACCAACACATGTACTCTCATCCATGCACATGAGAAAAAATGCAAGGATGAGAAACTCTGACCATGATTTTGTCCATTGGTGATATGCCTGTAAGTACGGAACAACCCGATGGCTCTGCAGCACCTCAATCGCATCGAACACGTCGCCCAAAAAACTGGGTGATATGAATGGGGAATGTAATGCCATAGAATCAACGGTTACCAAACTGCACATGCAGCGTCACACATATATGATCTGGGCCACCTGCCACAAATGTCAAGTTAACCAGCAAAATCTACACACTTGTGTAGTTATCTGGGTTGCAGGTGGTACCCAAACCTTGACGACCCCACTGACATGTTTACATCACTGGGATTTCTCTCTGGCCTGGGGTCACGCGACCGGTCAACGGCCCACCCATCCGCTGAGCTTGAAATGGGTCAACATGATAACAGGCACACGGTCAGTTTTAGCTTCAACCTGTCCTTGCATGATGCAGCTCAACTCACTCTCGGCCATTCTGGTGCTTCACTTTACACAACAAGCTATATCCAATGAAGCATGTGATTTTTCTTGAAAAATTGGATTTCCTCTAGCAGGAATGCCAGAACCCCCCAACATGATGGATGCTTTTGGATCTCGGACAGCGGGTCAAAGATCTTGATTCCGTGTCGGATGTCACGTCTTCGTCTTCAGTCTCTGTCTCGTGGTCACTGAATGGCAACGCGATGTCCAGACGTGGGTCTTGTGGGGGACCCCATACTCATGCTACAGATTGTCGTGGTGAAACAACAAGTTGGGATCCTGTGGCAACTGCTGTTTCTAAGCGATCCAATCGTGCCTCCAGGCGCGAAATCACCACAGATTACATGGATACCAAATTCGAATACTGCTCCAAGGCTCTAAATACCGACACAAAATGTGCGTAGCAGCGGCACCGCACGGCTTGTTGTTGCTGTTGTTCCTCCGGCCTACGTTTGGGAGTCTGAAAAGCGGTCGCCATTTGTTGAAAAATGACAAAACTGCTGATCTGGATGTAGAGGCGTCTTGGCAATGTAATACTTTGCGCCTGGGTACGTAAATCAAGTACTTCACCACCATCAAGGGCCCGAACCAAGCCAGGAGCACGCGCATCCAACTGAAATTGTTGGGTGAGGGTATATCGATGATCGAGTGATTGACTGGCAAATTCAACATGGCTCCTTGGTGAGTACTGGGAGGCGGTCCCCAGGGCGAGTCATGGGACTTCTGGTCAGAGGCATATGGTGGACCTGGTGCCTGGTTCATTTCCAAAATGGCAAGCACCGTCAAGACACCGACAATGAATCCAAAAAGGCAAGATTTGCAGAAAGACGAAGTAGATCTACGTTGATCTTCCAAGATGATTTGCCCACATCGTTGCATGCACTGCAAAACCAGAACACGAATGTGTTGGGGCTCACCTGAGCCTTCAAATTTCCGTCAGCGAGAACTATGATCATGATGTGTGCTATACTTGATCTAAATCCATGTTCTGTTGTCATGTGACATCACATGACAACCATGCAACCTCTAAAAATAATATTTCATCAACACATTGAATTACATCATATTATATATTAACTGCTTATCAAATATAATATTGTACAGTATACATATATATACTACATATAGTATTGCGTATTTATATGTATGTATATATACATTTATAACAATGTGTATATATATATATATATTATAGATACATTGGAATGCCATCATGGGATTCCTGAAAAACAAAATGGTTAGAGCTAAATCCCCATGAAGGTGGGCAGATACCCATCCCCAAACTTATGGGAAATTTACCCAGGTTTTGACGGAATACAGCGCGCACGAAGTCGCAGCACCCACGCCCCTTCCCGGTTAAGGGGGGTACGAGGTGCAAGGAGGCGGGTAAACCGAGAATGGAAAGCACACAGCTAACTACAATGTACTGGCACTATGCCAGGGAAATGTCACACTAAGAATAGCAGTTGACAAACCACGTCGCGCGGTCGTCCCTTGCCGAGTGAAAAGCAAATGGCATACAGAAACAGCAATGTTGTCAGAGCTGCTTCGAAAATGACAGATCTTAGAAGGCTGTACAGCGACAAGCTCAAGCACAAAGGCAAGCAAGAGAGTTTTAACAAGTACAAGCAAGCATCAACTGCAAGCAAATCAAGACAAGGAAAAACATGTCACAAAGTGCAGGCACCTAACTGTTGGTAAACTCGGGGTGTTCCGCCCGCCGGCTTTTTTACTTTTTGTATTGTGCGGTCACGACTTCCTACTCCTACTCACTGACAAGCTCGGGTGGCAAGCTATCAACATCATCGAAGTCAGACCACTGACAAGCCAGAACCTACAAGTGATGCACAAGAGTGCGCTGGCAGGCTGGAACACACTTATGGCTCAAGTCCGGGGCACAGGCTGAAGTCACCGGCAAATCAGGGCATTGCAGAAAGCGAGTGACATGAGCCCATACATAACATCCTCCGCAAAGCAAACCAACGACACACACCATGCCATAAGGGTTTGGGTCCTGCATTCAAGTGTTGGCATCACACCTCCACCATCTGTCATGATTTCAAGATGCTTGGCCAGGCCAAAGGCATGCGAGCAAACAACGGACGTCAATCTACTCCACGGTTCAAGTGTCATCTTGAAGAGGTAACCGTCTGTGATGGCATGTGGACGCGACCGGACTTCAGTCCCATGCCACGGAACTGACTGATATTTCACCGAAAGCTGAGAAGTATCCACAAGACAGGACAACAGAACCTCTGAATATCCAATAGCAACCACCCGAAGGCCGATCAAAGTCAAAACACAAGTCACTCGATAGTGGCAGGGGCACACCGCAAGCAATGGGGTCACATACTCGAGGATCAGCAGAGGAGGAACGTGGGAAAACTGCATGGCTCAGTTAGAAAGGGGCCACCTCCCCACCTCGCTACGTGGAAGCCTGAGCCCAGAGGCTACCCAGGTTTTGACCATGGCACAGGTGATATGTTTACCCGAAATGTCGGCTCGTTTGGACGGGATTGTCCGCCGTACACTAACCATAACCAGTGATCCAAATGGTGACTGACTTCCTACTGTGGATGGTTGCGAAATCCTGCGCCATTGTAGATGGTCTATCCCGAGTTATAACTCCACTATTTACAGGGTTTCATAATTACCAATAACTACCAACTGGTGCAGGATTTCTTCCATCCTCAGTATTCAAGGGAGCTCAGATGGTGTGAACAGCATGGCTCTAGTATCATAGAAGATAATCCTCCAATCAAATATGGTACGATGGAAAATCCCCGAGTCAATTGATGGTCTGGGAAATCACGGCGAATCGTCGACTCAGGGAGGAAAAAACACGTCCATCAGGCCTCTGTGCTCTCCCAAAGCTGTGAATCTGCCCATTTCCCAGTTCCAGCAACAATGTCAAGTGGTCCTTCATGGCAACCTTCATGTTCGGATGCCTCACAGGGTGAGATTCACCAGCACCAGTGAAAAGCATAAATCGTGTGGTTCCCACAGTTAACAAAAACCCTTGTATCGGATCTATGAATGACTTAGGTTCCAACAAAATAGCATGTGTTTCTGTCTGTTTCTGTTTCCTATTGCATTGACTGTCGAAAATATTTCGGGATGTTTAAACCATCTTAACCCCCCCATTTTTTAATACATTATGATTCTGATCCCCCATTGTTTATCACCAGGTGGCTTCATCCCTAGACCTGGAGGAGACCAGTTCCAGTTCGAAGCGCTTCAGAGCCACACTCAGGACCTGCCATCCAAAATCAAGGGGATTTACCAAAGATGGGGATTCAGAAGCAAAAAAACATGTAACATCTGTAACATCTATGAAAAATTTACCAATTTACCCCTTATCTATGATTGTCGCACGGATGAAAACCCTATGAGAAATGGTGATAGACCCATGAAAACAGCGATTTAGCAACAAGGTTTCAATTGATCTTGCAAAGGCAACGAAAATATGCAAAACGTGAAATCGAACCAGAGAAAAACGGCAGAGATGGGAATGATTTCACCATCCAATGCTTCGGATGTTCGGGGCATATCATCTGCCGCCACCTGGATGCTGAAGTTTCCACCGTCTGCGGAGCTATCCACCTGGAAAAATGTGGCCATCGGTCATCGGCCGTTCGGCTCTTGGGTTCAGCCCGCTGCGGTCCTGTGGTTAAAGTGTCAGCAAATCCACCAGAAAAGAAATGGTTTACTGAGTTTTTTTTAGATTCTCACGATCCCCCCACTATGCAAAGTACTACCCCGAGAATCAACCGATGTTTTTGACACTCAAAGGGGGATCCCGAAGCGACTCAATCTCAGCCCCCAAGCATTGTACTCTTCGGCTCCAGTCCCAACCTCACCTTAGAATTCCAGCGTCTTTGGCGGGGCTGTTCAATATTTGTCGGAAGGGATTGGAACATGCTCCCCTTAAAATCATGATCAATTGGCCATGGATAGACTCGATTTTCCTTAACTGACAGATTTTGTAGATTAGATTCCTCTGAAAAGGTTCTGAAAATAGGACTTGTTCATTGACCATTTCCATTTTACCTAGGGGTTCCAACTGCAAAAACATGACAAATCTAAATTTCCAGCCCTGAATTCAGATCATGACAAATGAAAATCACAGAAAGGTGCCAAGGTGGCATGACAAAATGTTGAATTATAAACCGACTGCTTTGGAGAGTGCCGTTTTTCGGAAAATACAATGCCAACCCTTGAATGAGAAAAAAAAACTTACTCATTCAGAGATGAGAGAACGAAACCCTCCCCATGAAATAACCAAACATAAAACACATAGACCACGGCGGTCTTGACCTGCGTTTTCAACCATTTTCCAGCTCCCACGGCTCCCCTCTCCGACCGGGGCATCCGGGGCATCGAACCAGTCGCTTGTCTTACCAAGGCTCTCTCCTGCCAGAGTTGCCAAGAATGCCAGGGAATCTTCCTGCCTTCCCATCCCAATCATCTCAGTGCGCTGCATTTTGCAACATGTTTTCACTATCTTTCCATCACAAGAGTCCTCCAAAAATGATATACAATCCCATTTTCCCAAAATTCCATCTCAAAATGGCCATGGATTACAAAACCCCATACAAAAATTAATTGGTTTTGAGCCTGTGCCAATCACCATGCTACATTGTATACTGTATGCTCAAATCATGATGAAATCTATTCTTTGGACTTTGGACACTTAAAATCCAGATGTTGAATGTTTGAATGATCCAAGATTCCAATTTGTCGTGCTTGAAAACCCACATCTTGATCATAGAATCATTCAAAAAACAAAAAAACAAACAAAAACGAATCTACATCAAACAGACTAATCAGAATCTCCAAAAATTCTGTGCTCAAAATGTTCAAAACAACACGGACTCGGCACCAACTCGACACCAACTCGGCACCTGTTGGTCCAAGTGGACACCGATCTCCGCCAGGTCGCCGGGACCAAAATGTGGACCCTGGGTGATCCAAAATAGGCAGGTTTATCATCAAAGATTAGTCAGATAAGTAAAAAAAACATCAAAACTAGGAATTTAACTATCAAAAATCAGGGTTTGACAAAATCAAAAAGAACATGTAAAACCATCAAAGATTGTTGTTTAACCATTATATAAAACTATGTACGCGTTTAACATGGTTTAACCATCAAGAATAATTAGGGTGTTTAACCACTAAAAATATGAGTTCAACCGGCAAACAGGGGGAATATTTGGATCAATGTATTAGTGAAAAAATGATAACACATAGGACATCATGGTTTTTGAAGTCCAAATCTAGAGTTCTCTTGTAATTACTGTCCATCATTTTCCGACTACTGAAACCATAACCCATTGACGAATACCTGGTTCAACCCCCAGTTGACTGTGTTCGCATCCCCAAAGTCATCATGGCAGCAGCTGATAACCTCCCACAAGAAACCACTCAGAGCACAATTTTCTGGAACCCGAATGAACCACTAAAGTGGCCACATGATTAGCAATGATAGTACAATATTTGTATATATGTGCCATGGTTTATGGGAATCCTGGATTTCCACCATGGTGGCATGACCATGCCCCAATGATTTCTCTCACCATGGCCTAGCCTGCAAGAGGTTGTTGAGACAATGCACACCTGGGACCAGCAACGGTAACAACACGTGGGATCTGGTGTTTTGTATGACCAGGAAATTACCCGCCAAATTTGTAGACCCAGCGCACCGCAAAGGCCCCCAAGTTGTCGTTCATGATAAATATACCTCACGGCACCGCAGTCAATGTTGCACACTTAGATGGGGGTTTCTTAAAATGGGGGACACCAAATGTCATTCCAAATGATTTGTCGCTATGTGAACAAGAAAACCAATGGTTCGGGATACCGTCATTGTAAAAGTTTCCTGACTTATGCAAACATGTGGCGACCCCACCGGTCCAATGCAAATCAGGCACATCTGAAAAGGGCCCTGATTTGACCGCCATGTCACAAGCACACGCGCCAGCGGTGTTTCGCATTGGTTTCCCCAACGCAAGGTCAAACGTTGTTTCAATGTTCAAGTTGTGACAATTATACAACAAACGCAATGAATTGTTGCAACTGTTTTTTTCCACGAGTTCATCACGGTGAAATACACATTTCTTGGAACGTGTTCAATTTTAATCGAAAATTGCAATACTCAGCTACCATATTGGAACACCTGCACACACCCGTTTGTGGCCACGACTGCATTGAGGTGGGGAAATGCCACGAAAGCATACATTTCACAAATGGGTCGTTTGCATGAACATTGTCGTTGGTTCACGTATTGTTTCAAAACATTGGAAAAAGTGAACGGCAACAACAGCAAAACAAAAAAACAACCGAATGTTGTACACCATCGATGACAACCAGTGCACAACCCAAAACTGAAAAAAATCAACAAAGTTAGTTTCAGAATCGCGCGCATTCCATGTGCGTAAATCCGCATTTTTCCCCAACTGCGTAAGTTTTCGGTCTTCAACCATAGTAAAGGTCTCGAAACAGGTCGGAGCAGCCAAACCCCGCATTACCAAAATTCCCAAGCAAGGTTCCCAGGAACAGGTTCCCAAGCAAGGTTCCCAAAAACAGGTTCCTAAGCAAGGTTCCCAGGAACAGGTTTCCAAGCAAATTTCTCAGGAAACTCACACAAACGAAGCGAACAATGCGAAGCAAAGTGACTTTTTGGATCTTAAATTTTAAAACTGGTTCCTACTGTTTTCCACTGTTTGCGCCCTGTTTATTGAGCTTGGCCCTGGATGGAAATAAAAACACCGAACCATAAAATCGTCACCAATTTAGGTAAGAAAGATTCCCAAATTCACATTTTTTCATCCTCACATCTTCTCCTCATCTTCTCATCTTCTCCTCATCTTCTCATCTTCTCCTTCTCTTCTCATCTTCTCATCTTCTCCTCATCTTCTCATCTTCACATCTTCTCATCTTCACATCTTCTCATCTTCACATCTTCTCACATCTTCTCACATCTTCTCACATCTTCTCACATCTTCTCACATCTTCTCACATCTTCTCATCTTCACATTTTCTCCTCTTGCCCTCTCCTCTTTTCTATTTCTTTTTTCAAGGCGGCAGCAGGGGCCGTGCCAACGAGACGGCACGAAACACAACCTTTTCGCACGAAATGAGGTTCGATCGACAAAAAAAACTGAGGTACAATTGCGATTTCAGGTCCGGCGCAACCCTTTCGCACGAAATGAAGTTCGATCGCTAAAAACTGAGCTAAAAAGTGCGATTTGCAAGTCGTCGGGGAAACCTTTCGCACGAAATGAGGTTCGATCGCAAAAAACTGAGGTAAAAAGTGCGAGTTCAAGTCACCCGCGCAATCCTTTTGCACGAAATGAGGTTCAATCGCCAAAAACTGAGCTAAATTTCAAACAAATAATAATTTTGCAGGTGCAACGGCGCCCCTTTTCCTTGAACCAGAGAGTATGGAAAAGTTCTCAGTGACCAAAGGGCATCTCCAGTCATTTTTGTTCTTTGCTCTTTAGGAACAGGTCAAGGAATGCCATGTGTTTCAGGTCAAGGACAGAACTTGAGTCAAGGTCTAGATCAATTTTTTGTGGTCGGCGCCCGTTGTCTTTCGGCGGGTCGCACGTGAGACTTCCGAGTGGACCAGCAGGAATTCGAACCACCACCGGCAGTCTGTCAGCGCTGGCAAGGACCAACGCCAAACCAACTGAGCCATCGGGTCGCCTGAGTCAAGGTCTAGATCAGGTAGAACTGGAACGACAAGGACTGAGAGGATGTCAAGGACCGAATATTGGCGGTGTAACACTACGAATGAACGAATGCAGGAAATCCTAAGGATGACACAAGGTTTGGACTCTATGCAGGTGCTGAGGTTGAGACAGTGAACTTGCAAGAGTACCGAAGAGCTTGCCACAGCGTGCAAGGTTGCAAAGGGTATGTTCTGAGGCATATCATTGTACAGGTGATGGACGCATCTCGCAGCCACATCTCTTAATTTTAAACCAGGAAACTCAACAAAGCCCAAAAGCTGGCTGTCCGAGAGCAGCCTACAAATGACCTGCTGCTTTCCCATCCATTTCCGATTGCAAAAAGAAACAAGTGGAAACTTCCCCAAACATCCTACGATCAGGGGGCTCAAAACCAATGACTGGATTCCACTGTTCTCCCGTCGCTGACCACTGCTTGCATACTTCTGTTGGGATTCTTGACCAGTCCAGGTCCCTTCAGTTGAGTCAGCTGTCCAATTTTTTTCCGTCCAACGCCTTCATGGCTTCCGCCAGGTCGTTCAACATGTTTCAGAGCATGTTGCAATTGGGATTAATGAATTAATTAAGTCAGGCAAGGGCCGTTGCTGTAGTGGCCGCAAAAGTAAACTGGGGAGGACCGATACATAGTCCTATGCACTGTCACGTTCATCCAGAAAACCAAGCAAAACACAAAGAAACAAAGAAACAAAAACCAAAAACAGAACCAAACACAAACAGAACACAAACACACAAAAACAAAAGCAAACAAACCAAAAAACAACACAAACCACCGAGCAGTGACGTATTCATTCCAAGTTTCACACTTGGTCACTTCACCATGACCCATCATCCCATACCATTCATCCATTCCATCGGTTTCCTCTGCATAACCGAGTTCATTCATTTTGCCTTTCAGTTCAAATGGGTTTGAATTGATAAGACATGGAATACAGTTTGAGACCCCGCAGTGAAGCACTGAGTTTTCGCACGGCCCTTGCGCATAAGAGTTTCAGTTTGCATGCCAGTGAGACAAGCCCGAGCACTGTTGTGACAGACCCCATCCGGAAGATCGACTATGAGAATGAAATCCTTGACATCCTTGAAAACCTTGGCATGCACTTCGCTGAACTCCACAGCCGTGCATCCACCATGACTTGAATTTGCCGTTTTGGGGGGTTCCGAGCACTTCCCTTCGAAGGTATCCTTCAAGGGGTCTTGAAGGGGTCCTTGGGGGAAGGGGGGCTGAAGGTCTGCAGCTTGAAGCCCCCTTCAAGCTCCCTTCAGGCCGCCTTCGTGCACCCTTCAAGCCCCCTTGAAGCCCCCTTGAAGCCTCCTTGAAGCCCTCTTGAAGCCCCCTTGAAGTCCCCTTGAAGGTTCCGACCTTGAAGCCCTCTTGCAAGCCCCCTTCAAGCCCCCTTCGTGCCCCCTTCAAGCCTCTTCAAGCCCCCTTCAGCTCCCTTCAAGCCCCCTTCAAGCCCTCTTCATCCCCTTCAACCCCCCTTCAAGCTTCCTTCGCCTTGAAGCCCCCTTAAAACCCGTAGCAAACTAGAAGGTCCGGATTCCGAACAGATGAAAGCTTGCTTCTCCAGAGTGGCACCCAAACACAAAGCCACCAAACACGCTAGAGTAGCGCGCGGACTTCCAGACAAATGGAAACCAAAGATTGAGACTGAAGGTCTGTGAAGCAAGGCAGAGGGGGGTGGAATTCAAAGATGAAGTCTAGATTGAGACTGAAGATCTGTGAAGCGAGGCAGGAGGGGTGGCATTTAAAGATGAAGTCTAGATTCTAGATTGAGACTGAAGGTCTGTGAAGCAAGGCAGAGGGGAATTAGCCATCAACGAAGTTCTTGCTAGCCATGCAGACCCTAAATATACTGACTGGAAAATCATTGTCATGGATAACACCACCTGGCAACTCAATGACGCTGACCCAGGGTCCCTGGACGTTCAGTGCACTGGGTTGGGTGGAGGAGAACTCGATGAAGAATGGGATGTACTGCTAGCTTGCAAAAAGGAAGCGCATGTGTATGGGCCATCCCTCAGCAAACAGGACGATTGGAATGCAAGGGCTGGCACAATTGCAGGCACTGCCCACACACAAGAATACTTGCTGCTGCACATAGCCATGTTTCCCATTGGCGCGCACACCTGGTGCCGTGTCTTAGGAGTGCCCAGTGCTGACCAATTGCAGGCACAGATCATCAGTCGAGCCATGAAACTGCTGCGCTTCTGTCCCATTACCCCAGCGCATAGGAAACCACCGTGGTCAGGGTACACGCATGGCCTGCGACTTTTTACTAAGTTATTAGTTGCACATCCGTTGGTCGGAGTATGCCTGCCTCCTGAAATCCGCCCAGTAGATTATCTGAGATTAACAGGATACATGGTAGGTTCTCTTTTCATTCGAGGACACAGCGCTGGCTCGTATGCAGGAATGGTATGGGAGACCATCCTCTCGGAATTCCCAGACGTTGAAGGCAAAACCGTGCTAGCAGCCATTGCCCTGCCACCATCGCTACTGACGGCACACAGCCTGTCTCAGCTTCGACAGGTACACCTCATTCACCATGCAGATGACCGGCTTTGCGTATGGAACCCGTCTAACCAAGACATTAAACTGCTAAAGCAACGGGGCTTTGCAATCACGCACATCACAGGATGGAGAGCATACCTAGGCACTGCACAACACAGCTACTCGCACTGGACACGAGTTGCCCTCCCAGAGGGACGACCAGACATGGCGCAGTTAGAGGGTACCCCAGGAGTGCTCCCCTTTGAGGTCTACTCACAGGCTCCCCTCCGCCTGATCTCATGGTGTAGCTTCGAGCTCCCAAAAACAGCCAAACGACTCCTGCGCGAACTAGCCGATATGTGCGAGCTACCTGAGACCACGACACAGGCACTTGTCACCCACATTGCTGTTCACAACTCAGCGGTACAAACGGAGCAAGAGGCAACCCAATATTTAGCCTCGTTGGCAACTGTTACCATCGCGACAAGGACCAAATTGCTCAACTATACCACCATGGTCCAACATTTCCTTGGCACCCTGCAATTGCCCATGGCTGTCTACATGTTAGACTACTATTTGCCCATGCTCAGCCCCAACGAAGGCTATAATGAAACAGGGTTAACAATGCAAAGTGCAGGACCTATCCGTCAACCATGGCAACCAATTACTTTCGAATTCCTCTTCAAGGGCAGTGAATTTGGTCACTGGAAAGTCAAAGGCGGACAAGATGCATTTGCGTTCCGACATCCAAGCCTTGGCA